TTCATGGGCAGAACACAAGCGTGCTACCCACTACGCCACCGGGCAGCTGATCAGACAAAATAATCAGTTAGGTTGTGAATGTTTCCAACCGAATCATAACCCTGGAGGCTAGTGCTGAGTTGAGCAGGGTCCATGGCCCGCAACAAACTTGCAAAGATGTGCTGTGCTACATCGTGTAAATGGAAAATGAAAAAACCGTCTGATCAGTTGCTTGGTGGCGTAGTGGGTAGCACGCTTGTGTTCTGCCCATGAAGTCCCGGGTTTGATCCCCAGTCAGGTCGATGGATTCGCACTGCTGATCAGACCCAACCAGGTCGAAACAGCTGTCCACTGCTTCCGAGCTTTTCAGTTCACGCTTCCTTTGCTATATACACGATGAATTCCCGTTTGAAATATCGATATCCGTAGTCCACTGGGACTGGACATGAAGTGTGCATCGTATTTTTGAGTCTAGTGCTAGTGTTACATTGGGCAGGGTTGACGTCCAGCAAGATTCTGATGGCCAAATCGTACAGCACAAAGGTGTGCGTCGTCCTGTGCTTTTGCTCATGGTCTGAGATCATTTGCTTATTCATCGTAATTGAAAGGTGTGCAGCCATCTCTTAGCTAGTCATTATTGTGATAGGCGAGTGTTTGAGGCGAGGAAGAAATTCCTTCACATCATGGGTATTTTTCTGCACCATGATAGATAGTGAGCGTGAATAATTCCAATTAAGGCTACTTTCGTCAACAACTCACCTCGATGGCTGTCGGTTCGCCCAAGAGTCATGTTTTCATCAAGCTGATGTCCCGTCATATCGTGTTAAATTTGAGTGCCGGTGTATATTTACTTGTTCCCTCAATGTACTATGCTGACGTCGAACTCGATTCTCATTTGTTACTCACTCGCTTTCGAGTTGGAATGTCACAGAAGATCTTTACCCTTTCATCCTTTTTCCGTGAAAGAAATACCACTTTTGTTCCCATTCCATTGGGAAATGTTTTTTTCAGCCTGTGCGCATATTGTGTCCGTTTCTCGCTAAGCGCTGCAACCTACAGAGCCCTCGTTTTTTGCTGCTTACGAGGTCAAATCAGTTCACGGCATACTACCAGTTGTTCTGTTAGTTCACAATCAACCCATTTGTATGGTTCTGTTATAATGTTTGTTGTACCATGATTTGTTTGGCATACTGTGTGAACCGAGACACTTACGAAGTGTCATAACAATAACATATTTTTCATGTCTATCCTTACTCCAATCTATCGCCCAATCACTTTTGACCAACATTGTGGCGCTAATTGAACCATTCATTTTTAATTGCTCCTTTGCAACCTGGTTTCAGACACCGTATTTCTGAGTTGGAAGAACAGTTGAACAAGTCAGAATCTGATCGTTTAGAATTGGAAGGAAAAGTGGAGCAATATGAACTGAAAGTGGGTTTCTGTATTTGATTTCGGTTGATTTCACTAGCACCCCTTACCCCCTTAGATCAAATTTTAGTTCTTCTAGAATATTCTGCACGCTAACAGACAGTCGTACTTTCGTAGCGGATTTCATTTACGTGCTATAAATATTGGTATGCAAACCGCAATGTAAAATATCTTTGATGTCAATACAACTAAAGTGTGATCCTGTAAGTTTTGCGTATGCATTGTGCATCCGTTTTATTTAGCTATTTTCTCTACTATCTTGGCACGTTTTCTGCTAACTGTGTTCTCGCAGCTTTCCAAAGTTCTCTTTGTGGCCGTCTGAACGCAATTCAGCGGAGAGTTGTGGGAAAACCGCTATTCATTGGTACCGATGTCCAGTTCATCGGGGTCAAACCTCCAAGATGCCCAATCAGTCGGTGACTACTATCATAACCGGGAAGGTGTGTGCGTGGTTAGTACGCCCCTTCTTGGTTCTTTTGGAAACAGTTTTTTTGGCCGACTGCCGTAGGTGAACTGCCAGTGAACCACCGACCCGTTTAAAGTCTCGAATGTTGGCTTTCCGTCCTCTCATTTTGTTGGGAAAACACCTCCACGTAGAGACAGTGAGTAAGGTCTCCTCAGCAGAGGCTGTTTTGGGACTCTGGGTCATGTAGGAGCAGTTCGTATAAAGTTTATTTTGACTTGACTTGAGGTGTGGTTTCTCACAGCTCTATTTGGCGTGAAATTATCTTTGTTCCGTACAAGACATCGGTGCATAAATCTCATCGAAAGTTACTCCGTTGATTTTACCGCGTATTCCAGTATGGTGAATCGGGAGTGCGAACGCTTCAATCTGCTGAAGCTGACAGAAGACAGGAGTGTCTCGGGATGTGGAGATCATAACACGTCTACTGAACATGATTGAACAAGATTCTAGTGCCACATTGACGGTCGAGTGTTAGAGGCAGGAGAATCTGAAGCGTGATTCAGCTATTGTGGAGCGCGCCAGTGCCACACATGTACACGCAGTCACCAAGTCGATGCCCCGCAACAGGCCCAAAGAATTAGCATCAAACAAAATTCCAACCGCATGTTGGCAATGCGTTCGCTGGCGTTTTGTTCGCTTTTGTCCTGCCAGATATATCTCAAAAGAGACTACAAGGAAGATCAGTATCGTGTCAATCGGCGTTCCGGAGAACGACCAAAAAGAAAAACCGATACAGTTCAGGTACCTCCAGCCACTGTATATCCCAAAACCTCATTCCGTCATGGCCATATTCAGAATCGATTTCGAGACCTGGAGAAAATATGTAACAGTTCTGATAAACGACATACCAGTAAAACTCCATTTGAAACGACGTCGGATGTCACCATTGTTCCACACAATACATGGCAGATGATCGGACGGCGCCAGGTAATTGGACTAAACAAAGCAGCCCAGAATGTCCAGTGAACCACTGCTGCTCACCGGTGAAACTACATGTGAAGTGCGATTCAAAACATCAGTTTCTGTCAACTTTTTACCTAATCGACGGTCAATGGTTGTAAAAAACTGCACTGAACTGAACTGACCGTCTGAACCTCAATCTCCTCCGGATCGACTGTCTTAGACAGCCCGGGATTCTCGATGTGACACTTAAAAATGTGTGGAATAATTCTTTGACGTTGAAACTGTTTTCTTCACCAGATCAAAGGCGACCTCAGTACTACATACTGCAAAAAAGGAGGGGCAAACGCAGGAGCCCTCCTAACAAAACGGAAGCTCGATGAGAAAAAAGCCTCCAAAGCTGTTCCAGACAGTTCCCAAGCTTTGAACATACCAGACAGCTACGGACCAAAAAAGGGTGTCAGGGAATCAGCATGCTCCCTGCACACTGCCTTGTTCTGGGTCAACCAATCAGGAGTCAGGTAATAGGCTGGAACCGCCGACCAAGAAGGTTGGTGGCAATTCAGCCCACCAATCGTTTGATAATGCATTCCCCTGTCTTCTTTCTTTCCTATAAATCGATCAGTGAAGTTCATTTCACTGTATTACGCTGTACAATGATGGTGATGATGATTTCCTATAAATAACCATGGTTGCATAATGAATGAATTACTACACGCAGCTATGTTCTATTTCACTACCCCTGGAGTTCCTATATGGGCGAGAAACGTTACCACAGGACGATCCTTGGAGAATCCATTATGGAGGTAAATTCTGTACGGCTACAACAAAAGTGACGAGTTGCAACCCAATATAACCACCCCCGACCATACTGAGGCTTTCGAAACCTTCTCAATGCATCAGTGTCGAAACGTGCTTCTAGTATTGGAAGTATCACTATTTCGTTTTCAGAGTTGTCGAGGCCTGAGCATACTCCCTCGTAGTTACTTTTTCTGGAACAACCAATCGGAACAAGGATATCAACACTCAGATGATTGGTCAGAAGCTTCAACCAATCATGGCGATTGACAATAATCCAGTCACCCGATCGTGTTCTATATGCTTTCCCTATACCCTCGATCTTCCCCATAAATAACCATGCGTTTCGGATAATACGTGAATTTCCACACGATTCTGTGTTCTATTTCAGTACCGGTAGAGTCGCTATCTGGGGTAGAAATATCAAGAGAAAACAATCATTCGGGAGTCCAGTATAAAAAAATTCCATGCAGTTACAGCACCGGTTACAAAAGTTCACGAGCCCTGGCATGATTCGAACCCATACGCTGACGCAACGTGCGTCTCTACGTTCAGGCGCTCCACCGGATGAAGTAATGAGTGCGACGAGGAGGAATGACGTATTTCGCTTGGTAGAGCTTAACCCTAACAGAAATGTTCACGTGTGAGTGCTAATCCTATGCGAGACTTGCACTCCTCGACAATTTTATTACTTGGAACCTTCGCACAATCTGCAAGCATGCGAAACTTCATTTCATGTATTATTGAGGCAAATGCTCATTTGCATGAATTTTTGTTTATAGGGGATGTGTTCATAATCGGTTGTCGCTAGATGCTTAAAATCAACCCTTTCCACATCAACTTTCCCTCACTTCATATCTTTTTGACTGTAAACAGTCAACTGGTTGTCCTTTTACGACCCCGGGTCACGGTTTCCTGCTTCATTTTTACCTGTCTATCTCCCTGCTTCCACCTTCCAGGGTCTACATGAACCACAGACCACCCGCATTCTCACCCTAAAAGCGAACCCCTCTGCGGAAGTTAAAGAGACGCTATCCAATGAGGTCACTCGCCTACGCCAAGAAAATGAACGATTCCGACAGAGAATACAGGTAAACCAAAATATGACCTATGAAATCCCCTTCGATCGAAGAGGACTTACACTGGGTTCCAGAAGAAAAAAACAAATTCTCGCTGACTTACTAGTCTTACTTCTGAGTCCAAGGCTCTGGTTAGAGTTCCCAAAGAAAAAACCCTTCATCGATGTGGGCTGCCGCAAAGTATGTCATGCCCTAAAGTCTTAGGTAAACATTTGAAAACCCTCCACATATGTCCAGTTCTTCCTATCACTCCCGAATCTTACTAGAGGCCTCCTGTTTGCTGTTCAACTGGTAAGGTCACTCAACCAGAAGCTGTCATTTACCGTGCTTTATTCGCTGTAGATAATCCGGGTTAGACGAAACCGCGTGGAGGTCAACACATGACGTGGAAACTAGACACCAAAAAAACGCACGAAGCGATTATGTAGAATAGGTGTCTCCCGTCCTTCATATCTGGGTCCAAAAGACTGCAACTGGGTACGAGCCAACAGCCGTGGCGTTTTTTTGTCATTTCTTATCAGGTCAGGGTGCTTGGAAATGTATGTATGCACTGTCACATTCTGTACTCTGTATGTTGTCCCTAGAGGTTCATTTTCTTCCCGCCCTCCAGTGAGACCCAATCCCTCTCCATCTTGTAATTTATCACCTTATTTGTGTGCATTGTGTGCTTGAGAGCGACCAGTGATGATGATGATTATGAAAATGAGGAGGAGGAGAATAATGATGAGGAGGATTAGGAGAATGAGGATGATGATAATCAATGCACTTTGCAACGAGGGTTGCTTGTGGATCCAAAGCGGCAGCCCATTCGAGGCGTTGAATATTTGATGTGTAAGTAGCACTGGTGGAGCAAAAGCGACA